TACATATATGTAAATGGCGCACATGTGTAAACGTGTGTGTACCCTTTATTCCAAAAGTCGTAAAGAAAGCAAGGGAAGAAGAGTGGATGAACCCGGTTGAAATGTACCCGCCTGGACAGGACGCTAAAAGCGAGCGCGCCCACAAGGAGGCAGGGATCATTTCACTGGTCAACAGTAAACCTGCCGTTCTATTGGTTGGTGGATTTTGACAGGGTTGTTACACAAAAGAATCCAAGAGCAGGTCAGAAATCTGAGAGCAGAAATTCCACGAGCGCACAGAAGCAGTTTGAGTGTGAGGAGAAAAGCCAAAACTCAAGCAGGAAATCTGTGCAAGCAACATGGTATCTGAGTGCGAGCACACAGTTTGAGCAGAAACAGAGTAGATCTAAGCGCAAGCAGAGGCTATTTGAGTGCAAGGGCAGGGTTTTGAGGGATAATATTACAAAATCTGAACGTGAAATCAATAAATAATGCTTTCAAACTGATAGAACACCCTCTTGAATAAAGATAGGAAAAAAGCTCCATATTGATCAGGATAAATCTGAGCGCAAAGAATGAAAGAGAACCTGCCCCCCCTAAATACCCTAGCACAGGTGCCTTTGAGCAATGCATTTAAGTCTGTGGTTGTTGTTGTTGTGGGAATGTGTGGAACTATGTGAGTTTGAAGTAGGTCTTATTGAAAATTAAAGCTGGATAAGTATTGGTTAAAACGTCTTTAGGTACACAAGTATGCAGAGAGTGGCTCACATGCTGCCGCTTGTCTGTGTGTACATATTGGTTAATTATACATTAATTAAAATCAGAACATTCTCCATATTGGATTAAAAGTCTAATCATACTATGGTACTTACGGGGCTCTGCCTTAATTGCATTCCTGAATTGCGTTCCTTTAATCACATTATAGTTTTGATTGATGGAAACATTTTAAAACCTTTTTGTATTCTTTCTGTAATGTTTGTCAGTAAGGGGTGCTGTACAGACAAACTACAGAAGCAGTGTTTCAGATTGTGTAGTGCTCCTGATTCCTGATCGAGGGGGAAATCGAGGGGGAAGCAATAAATAGGATATTCTTGAGAAATTCTATAAGATATTCTTTTTCCTGCTTCTCTTTTAAACTCTAAAGAGGCCTGTTGCTCCTGAAATGGCAATCAAAAATGCTCCTGCTTCTATTTGAAGTTATCATGTCGGTTTGCTGCTAGGTGCACAGTGAACTGTTGTCAGTTGTTTTTGCAGGCAGAGGTGGACCTCTAGTAGTCAGAGGTCACTTTTTATTCCACAGTCAATTTGCTCATTCTAAACTCTCCTCCTACAGGTTGGAGTGGGTGGAGATCATCGAGCCGCGCACACGGGAGCGTATGTACGCCAACCTGCTGACGGGCGAGTGTGTGTGGGATCCTCCTCAGGGTGTTCGCATCAAGCGGACTGGTGACAACCAGTGGTGGGAGCTGTTTGATCCCAACACCTCGCGCTTCTACTACTACAATGCCTCCACCCAGCGCACAGTGTGGCACCGGCCCCAGGGCTGCGACATCATCCCCCTGGCCAAGCTGCAGACTCTGAAGCAGCACACTGATGCTGCTAACCCCCGTCCTGCAGGTGGAGGAGGAGGGAGAGCGTCAGCTGACAACAGCCCCGGACGTAACAGCGGGGTCAGCCGAGAGGGAAGTACTTCCTCCTCCCTCGATCAGGAGCTCTCTGAAAAACAGGGCAACAGAGAGGAGGCAGACAGGTAAGATGAGTCACCTGATAGAGGCAGGCAAACTGCAATCTAACAGACAAGACCAATTTATTAAGCCTTGTTTCCACCAAGCAGTCTGATTCAGTTCAGCTCAGTTCAGTCTGATACATATTAGAACAATTATTTTTACGTTTATATGGTGAAGAGTTGTAGATGGAACCAGTAGTGCCATTTCTCACTGTCCCTATTTTTGTCATTGAGAGAGACTCTCACTCCAGCCTGTTCTTTTTGTTCTGGGGAAATTGTCTGTGTACAACCATGTTAGATGGACAATAAACGAGGTGCAGACGTTCCTCTGCATCACTGGTGAAGAGGAAATACAGCGAAACTCGGCAGACCAGTCACGAAGAGTAACCTAAATTTAAGAGTACTGTCTGCAGTGGATATGTTGAACAGATCCAGGGTCTAGGTCCATGTCTGTATGGATTATGTGCAGTACAAAAGGTACTATTCTGAAAGGTTTTTGTGGAAACACGGCTTTTCTGTCTAAAGTCTTAACATTAAAGAAGAATCTACCAACTTTTACACATCAAATTCTGTTTACAACCGTTGGAGTACATATAAAAAGAGAGTTCTCTGAAGCCTTTTGTGGCTCTTATAAATTGCAGCCTACATGAAAAAATAGTTGTGTATATTTGTGCTCTTCACGTTCAACCTTATCATGTATCAAAGCAGAATTCCTTGTCCATGTCTCCGGTTTGCAAATGTCCAAATATGAAGACCATATATTAAGAGTGATGATTTGGGTGTGGGGGAAAAAAAACACATTTTCTACTTGTGTTAACAGTAGATTCATCCACTTAAATGTTGCGTTACTGCTCTTCTTGTTCCTAGAATATTGGTAACCCTTGATGCCATGTGCTGCCTGGAGAGAGGCTAAATAGATGCTGAACAGAGCAAGGTTCTGCATTTGAATATTCAGCCAGAATCTCACATGACTCTGAAAATATTCTCTCATAACATAAAGCAATAGGTGGAAAGCCACTTTATATAACCCCACATTACATAAAAGCATTAGTTTTCCTGTTAAAGGTCAGCATTAGACTGTTTCCTTCCGTTCTAGTGTCACTCCCTCTCTTTTTTTCTTGCTATCTCTTGCTGTCTTATCAACCCATCCCCTCCTTTCTGTTTCCGTCACTGTCCATTAATTTCTGTCCTCTCTCACCTTCAGAGCCTCTCACCTCTCTTTACAACCCCCCCCCCCAAATGCACAAATGCACACGCATGCATGCACACACACACACAGCAGTATACAGTGTGCAAGTGTCCTGGCTGTTGTAGCCAGTTATTCACATTATGTGCACTCAGAGGAACGGCAAAGCACTGTTCTTAGAGACAATTACAGACTCTGTCTGTACTGTATGTTGCTGAATGAGAAATCTACAGTGACACAGATTTATCAGGCCAGTACTGAACTACCCTACTGACCTGCCGACAGCCCCACTGGCTGTAGCCGTGGCATTATGGTATTATGCTTTCATGTTTGCTGTCTCATGCTTGTGAACATGGTATCTCAAGAACACTTTGGGGAATTTTCTTCAAATTTGGCACAAACATCCACTTTCACTCAAAGATGAACAGATTAGACTTTGGTGGTGAGTTTGGTGGTCAAAGGTCAAGGTCACATGGCCTCACATATGTGTTTTTGGCCATAACTCAAGAATTCATGCACTCATTATGACAAAAATTCAATGTCTAATAGATGAAATAATGAAGTGATGACATTTTATATCCAAAAGGTCAAAGGTCAACTTCACTGTAACATCACAGTATACTACAGAAACACATTTCTGGCCATTATTCAATGTCATATCTCAGGAACAGAAGGGGAGACATTTGGTCAGATATTGAACTGGTGACACTCATCTTGGGTGTCCACCTTGAAACTGTGCTGATTGTATAGATCTTCTGTGCTGTTGTGGGGGAAGATGTGTGTGAAGCATCTGTGTTTTCACAGACATGGATGTAAACTGTAAGTGCAACTTGACTTGTTTGTTGAGGCAACTGCAAGGCAGTAATTCTAGTTATTTTTATTGTCCTCCCCAACAGTGAAATGAAATATCTACCCTTTATTCCCGCCTCTGTTGAAAAACTGCATTAGAAACACCTGCACACACAAAAGTGAAGTCGTGCACACTCTGTACAGTCTGTACACACAGTAGTTGAAGGTGGAACCTGATTCACTTGTAATTTATGTGAAAGCTTGTATAAAAAGGTCCAGTATAAAGATACCACCTAGTGACAGTTGGTTCATCTGTCTGTTCATCTGTCCAGCAAGGTGGTTTAGAGTGGCATATCTGAAGTAGAATCAAATGTTATGCTACTGTCTTGTCCCATTGGTTCACCACCTGCATGTAGTTATAGCAGTTAGCAGTGTATTTAGAGTGGAAGCTACAGTAAGTGTCTGGCTGAAGATGGTCTCTGGAGAGAGTAAATGCTGTTAAGGAGAGCAGGATAGGCAGTTTGTCATAGACCACACAGCTTCCTCTGTGACAGATGGGAGCTTTTGACCTCCACACAGCTCTACCTCCCTGCACACACTAAGGATCCTATTAAAAGAGGAAGTGAGGGAGGGATGAATGGAGAGAAAGAGGGCAGAGAGAAGGAGAGGAGATCACTATGAAGAAGAGAGGAGAGGATAGATTAAAGTGGCTCATTCACTCACAGTTTGTATGTTTGTCCTCCTTTTATATGCAGTGTCTGAATTAATCAGGACATAGACATACTGTATAGTGAATACACACTGCAAGAACAACAGAGGACATCTAATATTGTGCAAAGACCTGCATACACACGCATAGTACACACACAGTAGATACGAGGGGTCTTTGTCTAAATCCATCATTTTAAGGTCATAGTTACTGAGTCTTGACTTGTAAAGATCAACTGTATAGGTGTTTTGCCCGAAAAGTGCCATTTACATTTGAAAATTCTGGGTTGTCTGTCTATTCTTGTGAATGCGATATCTCAAAAATGCCTTGAGGGAGTCTCTTCAAATTTGGTACAAACATTCACTTGGAGTCAAGAATAAACTAATTAGAATTTGGTGGTTGAAGGTAAAAGATCAAGGTCACTGTGACCTAACAAAAATAGTTTTTGGACATAACTCAAGAATTCATACACTCTTAAGTGCAATATTGTAGGCAACTGGACTTGCTTGCGTTTCTTGAAGATGTTTCGCCTCTCACCCAAGAAGCTTCTTCAGTTCTAAATGACTGGTACGAAGTTACAGGCTATAAACCATGTGTGGGTGGGAACCCTTGCAGAGTCACAGGGGTCACGTGAGCTCTTAGTTTCAGTCGTTAAGGTCACAATGTGAGTAGTTGACCCACCTGGCCACCATGTGAGTTGTTAGGGTCAGGTGGGACCAGGGTTGAATGGGTGTGAAGTCGTCTGGGGAAGGATCCCAAGACTGCATTGTAGGTGGGGGATAAGTAGTGTCGTAAGCCACCCCCTCTGTTTAACGATGGTCGTTCCAGCTTGACGTAGATGGCTTCTTTTACTCCCCTTTCAGACCATCTTTCCTCCCTTTGTACCAGTCATTTAGAACTGAAGGAGCTTCTTGGATGAGAGGCAAAATGTCTTCAAGAAACGCAAGCAAGCCCAGTTGCCTGCGATATAGCACTTACGATTACCATGACCTGGATGACTGAGAATCTTCACTGGCATTTCATACACTAATTATGACAGATTTCTCTAAAATGTATAATAGAACTGGACTGATTAGACTTTGGTGGTCAAAGATCACTGTGATCTCACAAAACATTTGTCCATAACTCAAGATTCAACAATTCATAAATTTCACAAAAATGTCTAATACATTAAATAATGAAATTATGACATTTTATATACAAAAGGTCAAAGGTCAGCTTCAGTGTGACATTATGATGTTCTGCATAAAACACTTTTCTGGCCATTACTCAATGTCACTTCTCAGGAACAGAAGGGGAGACATTAGGTCAGATACTGAATTGGTGACTCTAATCTTGGGTGCCCACCTTGAAACTGTGCTGATTGTATAGCTTTTCTGTGCTGTCAGGGGGAAGATGTGTGAAGTATCCGTGATTTCACAGACTTGGATGTAAACTGTACGTACAACTTGACTGGTTCACAGAGTCATATAACCAAGAGGCGGTAATTCTAGTTCTGTCATCACTGGCCATGATGTCTGGAAAAGTGGCAGCTGCAGGCTACCAGTCAGCTACACTGTGTCATCTTTAGTGGTGGTTTTCCCTGTGGATGCATGCGACTAGAAAAGACAGTGAAAAAAATACAGGGAGAGTTAGTGATCCCGCTTTTGATTTCAATAATTCAATTGAAAGCTCATTTCCATTAATTTCCGATGTAGAATCTAAATTGTGACACCCCCTGATACACACACACACACACAAGCACAAATGGCTAAGGTAGCCTGATTTTGTTCGATTCATTGCCAGGGATATAAAAGATCTGTGGTAGAGCTTCTTATTGTACTGCTGGTGCTCAGCCTGTCAGTATACCTGAGACCTTGATGTGTTGGGACACTGCTGTTTACCTAATATTTTTGCAGCTGTTTTACTCAACATAATTATATAACCTATTTTACATAGGCTGTCAGTTTAATTAAGGATACAGGCTTATCTCCTTAGACAGCCTCTGGAGTGGTTCTGTGTACGGTTGCAAATTGAAGGAATATTCGTGGTGAAAACTTTCCAAGGGAATTAACAGGATTTAATGGGAATTCATTGGAAATTAAGTGGAAATATATGGGTTATTTGCTCAGGTTGTATTTACCATGTTATAGGCAGATAGAAACAATCCTTTGACCATATCAGCAGACATAATCCATTTATTTTCAGCCTAAATCCATTAAATTGTCAGATACATACAATGAGAAATGTGCCAGTGTGCTAAGTTAGCAAGACAGCAAGTTAACTAATGGGGAGAGATGCTTTGAAAATTTAAACTGTGTGGATTGTGTGTGAACATAGGGTTTAAAGTGAGCAACCAAT